GACGTGAAAGGCTGTGCTTCTCCACAGGAGACCAAAGGTATGTCTCTTGATTGTTAAATTGAACACATTCCCAATCTTACCTGGCATTGATTCATTTACATGCAATACTTAATACAAGTCATGATTAGTTAGTAAATAGTCAGAATTATGTTATTTTTTGATTTAATAGTCCAATCTTCTCAGATGTGCCCACTGTTTACTGCTATGATAGTGTTAATTTTATGTCATATTCCTATAGATCCAAAGGAGACACTACAGCAATGCTCAGCTAAGCTGTCCAAAGCAATGTCAGCTAACGTTAGTGATGTAGCTAATGCATTGTTTTCTGATGACCTGATAACACAAGGGACTAAAGACTATGTAGTGACAGCAGATGGTGTTTCTGCTTCTACTAAAGCCAATAGATTAATGACTGATGTCATGGGTCAGTTAGAAGCTTTTGATGATGAAAGACAGTATTTAGTTAAAGTGTGTCATGTATTGACTCAACAAGGTGCAGCTGTGAAACAGATAGGAAACATTATGCTTAAAGAACTAGGTATGTACATGTACATATAAATTCAATTAATGTTAACCTTTTCTGTTCTCAATAGGAGAAGACACTGCTACTGTCCATCCTCCTCCTCCTCAAAGTGGAGCTAGTGTTGCTAGTGAAGGTGAAAATTACTTATATTATTCTTTACCTGGTGCCATTGCGACTGTTGTATGCATTTGGTAGTTACTGTTGTAGATACTGTACAAGATGATTTATTGGTGGGAGTAATATTTGGTGGATTTGCCTGTGGAAAGAAATCGGCAAATTTTATATTAGCGATTAAGCATGCTCAGATTGAAACAAAATGGCGGATTTTATATTGGTGATTTTTTCATGGAACTGCCATTTTTATCATTATTATTATTATTGATGTCGCACAGATCACTACAACAATAATGACAATAATAATTTACTATTATTATTATTATTATTATTTTTATTTATTCCAAAGCTGCTACACCAAACACTCCTCCTTCTAATGATGAGTCAACTTCTCCTGCTACAAAACAGAGTAAAATACATTAATATTCATTGATACTAGTTTAATGTATTAATATTAAAGGTACTCCTCCACAAAGAAGTGTATCTGAGACTGGAAGCACTGGCTCTCCACAGGAAGCAAGAAGTCCTAGTATGTTGTTCACTCATTAGCCATGTCTAAATTCATTTGAAAGTATTGTTTTGTGAAGAATATGTACATGTACATGTATGCATG